TGGATGGATGGATGGATGGATGGATGGATGGAAGGAAGGAGGGAGGGAGGGAGGGAGGGAGGGAGGGACGGATGGATGATAAAATTAACGAAAGAACAAAATAAATGATGAATAAATAGGATTAATTTATAATGTACAATCGAATGAGTGAGGAAAAATAATTATCAAAAAATCTTAAGATAGGCACAAATTAAGGATATTAAGATTGACACGATTTTTCCCCTCAAAAACAGCAACAAACAAACCAACCAATCATCGAACAGCAAGTGCAGCTGAACAAATAATTACACATTTCATATAAGCCAGAATATATGTTAACGAAGTTATCATCTTAATTGATTTTTTCTCTTATTGTCAATCATCTGAACACGAGAGTACAAAAGGTACATTATTCATCAATTTTCAAGTTTTTTCTTCTAGATTTGATTAAACTGATGCAATCCAACGATTGATGTCAAACTTATTTTGAACAATTCTGGAGTTTCGAGTGGTGGTGGTAGAAGACGTGACAAGCAAATGGCTGTGCTGACGTATAATTCTGGCAATAACTGTGAGCTAGACACGTCTTCTTCTATATACGACCAACAATAATCCAGGTGCCTTCATTTGGATTGCTCGAAATAAACTTTAATCTATTTGTTTTCAAGAACACTTGAGGAACATTGAATTTCAAAAGGTCAGAACTAATTGGTGAAAAATAAATTGAAAGCAAGTTTAATTAAGAACAATCTCCGTACTGTGCTGTTTTGGCGGTGACATTGATAGAAAACGTCTTTTCTTCACTTTCTATATTATTCCGTGAGCGTTTTTTGTTCATGTGATATTAGTTTGCAAACATTACGCCAGCACAAAGAAGTAAAGCTGTTGTTATCAAGTCATCCCGTCAATGTAGGAAGCAATACCTTACAGGATCAAGAAATCGTAAGAAATATATCTTATGATGTCTCATTTGCCCAGCATCAACTCGAGCTCCTTAAAGTCTTTGAGATCAAGAGCACCAGCGTTAGTAATCACAGAGACCTCTATCTACACAAGTATATCTATCGCAGCATTATTGGGTAATTCCCTGGTACTATGGATTGTATACAAGAACCGAGCCCTGCGTACAATCCCAAACTATTTCGTTATCTCTTTGGCCTGCACGGATATTTCTATGGCACTGTTAGGTACACCATGGTCTATAGTCGTACTTGCCACGGGAAGTTGGCCTTCAAACTTCGCTGGCTGCCAAGTTCAGGGATACGTAGTTATATTGGTCGCAATAGCCTCACTTCAAAATCTAATGATYATGGCTTTTAACAGGTACTGCCGCATCGTCAATCAAAGCTTATACCGAAAAGTTTTCACAAAAAATAGAACACGACTTCTTATTTTCTTGGCGTACATCATTGCCGCAATTTCTGCGCTACCTTACATCATTGGAGGGCAATTCTATGTCTTTCAACCCGGGAAATTTTTCTGTTATCAAAAGTCAATGGTTGAGTACACTATACCATTGATGTTAATCTTCATCGGAACACCTACGGTTATAATATTAATTTGCTATCTCAAAGTCTTCTTCGCTCTGAGAAATCATCAAAAGAATCTCCACAAACCTGAGTCCGAAAGAGGATCTAAATTTCAGAGAATAACGGTTGAAGAAATTCGTATTACTAGAACATTATTCGCGACTATTGTTGGATATTTATTATGTTGGATGCCTGTGTTATTTATCGAGATCATAGACCTGGGTTTAGGCGAGGGGTCGCTACCTCGACAAGTATACATGATGTTCACAATGTGTGGATTATCGTCTTCTGCCATCAACCCTGTAATTTATGGCGTAATGAATAAAACATTCCGTAGAGAGTACAAGAAAGCGTTTAAATGTGGGGCTAGTAACACCGTCCAACCACGCCAGTCTAACTCCAAAACTCGTCCTGTAAATACAATAAATAAACTATATCAAAAGACAAAACTAAACGAAACCGAAACTTGAGTCGAAGGCCATTGGTTTGTAATGATGAAGTGTGGAGAGACGGGACCGTCATTTTACGTGGTCATCCGAGCCACGTGAAGGTCTAACCATATGTAGATGTAATTACAAAGGCAGCACCTTCTCCTCAGTTATTTCAAGCTCGCTAGATACACCGTGCTCACGAGGCCTAATACAGGCCGAAACAGCTGTCCACGGTTTCTGGTTGAGCTGGCTCATTTTTTTACGTGACTTGAAGTTGTGAAAGACCCGTTATCACTCTTCTTCAGTCGTTTCATACAAGGTTCGTGATTTACCTGTTACCCATGTTCTTGGTACGCATGTTCTTATTTCAAGACTGGATGTTGGTCCGACCGACGACAACTGAGCCAACCGGTTGGTGGTGGTAGACTTGCTGCTACACGTTTGATTCAACCCCGGCTCTGATGCGTTTCTGGCTGAATAAGAGGTTTTTATAGAGGCGAATTCATTCATATTTTGCCAATAACTTTAGCTTCGTATGATGTAAAATCTCTAACGATATTAAAACTTTTTGCCGTTCAGGCTTTTTCGTAAATCATCAACGAAAACTTTTGCGCTAGTGCGCATGCTCGACATTACGAGTAAAAAAAGTCTGCACATGCTCTGAATCCTTATGCAAATTAGTCAAAACATATGTACATTTGTTAATACAGTATCTTGGTCTGACAAAAGTATACTCGCAAACATTTTTGGATACTTAATTGAAGAAAACAAACATTTCTTTTCTCACTCAAACTCTTCAAAATTCGTGCTGAAATGAACGCACTCGCAAACGTTTTTCTCTAGTGTCACCTTAAAGTACTTTGCGAAAAAGGAAAACTGGCGTTTTTCATTCTGGTTAGCAATGTGATTCGAGTTAATTATGCTAATTTATGCTAATTACGAGAACTAAGAGGTTCCTTCAACATATATTTCAGTATATTTCTGAGAGTATTCGATGAATACCATTCAAACTTTGCAGCATACATGTATTCAAAACATGCAACGTGAAGATGCACAAACAGTGTCTGCCATGGCATCTAACAAAAATTTTAGCTTTTCAGCGATTGCTTTATTTTTTTACTTGAACGGAAAACTGTTTGACTATACTTTTTTGCCTATGACCACAACATATTTCTTAAACTAGCCACATTCGATGCCATCTCTTATAAAGCCAGAAATCTTGAATATTTTGGTAGGGGTGGCGTGGAACCGAGGTTGTTGCTATGGCAATTAATTTATAATCTGCTTTGAAGAAGAGCTAGCGCTGACCATAATCCTACTAAATTTGGTTGATTTTGATTGTAATAAGCCAGTTCATACTTTAAGAATCGTTTTCACTCCGCATGCGATTTTATCCCAAATTTCTCGACTTCTTTTTTCTAAACCTCATTTTGTTGTTAATTAAAGAAAAGGTGAGAAAATCGAAAATATGAACTGGCTTACTATTTGGCTGACATAAATTACTATAATCCTAGGCTGGTCAAGTGCACCATCACGTGACGGCGGCCATGTTAGATGGCAGGAAAGATACATTCGCTTTACGTGAGATCTGAAGAACTCAATTACAAAGGGATTTAATTGTTCTGCCATCAAAGCGAATCAAAGTCTATCTTGTTATCCAAACTTAATGATCGATCCCCTCTTAACGTCTTTTCTGAAGAAAGAGAGGGGAAAAGATAAATTACCCAACCACGATTTGGATGGGGTTTTCAATCAGGAGGAAACAGACTTCATACGCCTGGAAACAGGTCGTCCGAAGGCACCCCAGAAAATAAGGTAGCTAGTAGGAGTCTACTTACCCTAAAAGAGATATTAATGCTAATAGGAAAGACGACAACCATGATCAAACAAAATCATTTATCGCGTAATCATATACAAAATTAAAACTAAATCAACTGATTAAGCAATTGGCATTGAATCCGCATCATTCAAATAGAAGAGTTAGATGAAACCTTCCTTTCTTAGCTGGTAGTTGCCATTCTCGGCTCGTGCATTCCGTCTGGCTACGGGACAATGACTCTTGTAATGCCCCTCTACCGGTCAGTTCTACCACACCGATTATTTAATGCATTTCTATTAAACGCTCAACAAACTACAGAGCTTGAAAACCCTTCACTGAAATGCTCAACGAACCACGGAAATTGAAAACACTTCAACCACTGAAACGATCAACAAACCACGGAGCTTGTGAACACTTCATTTAAAAGCTCAACAAACCACGGAACTCTAATACATTTTATACACTTCATTGAAACGCTCAACAATCCACAGAACTTGAAAACACTTCATTAAGCGCTCAACAATCCACAGAGCTTGTAAACACTTCATTTAAACGCTCAACAAACCACGGAGCTTGAAAACACTTCATTTAAACGCTCAACAAACCACGGAGCTTGAAAACACTTCATTTCGCTTCAACAAACGAAGGAGCTGAAAACAATTCATTTGAACGCCCAACAAACCACAGAGCTTGAATACACTTCATTAAAACGCTCAACAAACCACGGAGCTTGAAAACACTTCATTAAGGATGGTGGGTACAGTTCGCGACCCATTTTTATTTAAATGAAACTTTGTCAGTTATTTAGAGTACCCAAGGGGCTATCTAAAAACGTGAAAAAATTTGGGGGTCCCCACGCATCCAAGCGATATAATTGTCATTCAAGACCCGATGACGTGAGCGCATTTTGAAGCACTTCAAAAAATCGCGTGTCCCTTGTGTGTGGCTTAAGTACATCGAAATTTTGCCTAAATAATCTTAAACATAAATATTTTTCATATTAATAAAAAGATTTGAAGTTGCAAAGATAAAAATACATTTTTTATCTGCTTTTGTGCAAAAGTAGGTGAAATTTCAATTTTGGACAAAAACACAAAATCAAAAATGAAATCACCCAAAACTATTTTTATTTTTGAATTAGCACATTCAAAATTATCTTAAGCGTTTGCAAAACATACCAAGCAAATGGGTCGCCATGCGTTTTTCGGAGTTATAATTTTTTGAATATCAGATTTCAAGCTTTTTTCCAGCGATGGTTACAAATTTCCTCCACCCCTCCCCTGAGAGACGTGGTTGAGCATTGCATTATGGGATGGTAAACATGGCGGACTACTGCAAGGACTACTGGATCAAGAATACGGTCACTAAATTGTTCTAGAGAATGCAACAAGAAAACCTTGTAGGGATAACTGAGAATTGAATAAAGCCTCAAGATTTTCATASAAGGAACAAGTGGTTTATAGCTAGGAGGCTATTCGGGTAAGTAAGCATAAAATAGATATCGGGAATAATTTAGTCTGTGTTTAAATAAATACGTAATAAATATAATTTAATCAATCCGAGCCTTCTCATTGAAAAAATCATTTATATAGCATCCTAATCACATATCAATTATATACACATTAAATCAACAATATTAATTCTAAATGATTATCACGTGTGTATACTTGCATATCTATCCAGTGAAGAAATAGCACAAATTGACCAAGTTTATTTATTGCTTGTCTCACTCATATTTCATGTATATTTTTTTTACATTACACAACTTTTTTTTGAATATCTTGGCAATAATATGGGCCGCAGTAAGCCAAATTTTGCAGGGATAATGTGTTGTTTTACTTCGGGCAATAAACAGGGTCCCCTATACATTGTGTGAGAATCAGGATTGGCCTATTTACTTTTCAGGGAAACGGATTGGTGTAATATTTTATTCAGGATTCCAGGATTTAAACTTTTTGCATCCTCATGTATTGCCATTTTTCAGACCTCATTGGCATCATATATGTTGTTATGTGTAAACAATGTAATAACTTTTTATCACAMAATGCTATGACCATTTTAAAGTGTATATGACACGAAAAAATTTTAATGTTAAGAATGTGTAGTTTATTGGCATTAATAAGAATATCAC